CTTCTTGTATCTATCAATTTAGCTTGTCTATTGTGTTTAGGTAAACTAACTATTTTGTTACAATTTGTAAACTGTTGAAATAATAGTGGTGGTCGGGAGCCTGTAAATCCTGGTCGGAAATGTTGAGTGCTGGACGGGCCCGTCCACTGCCGACCAGCGTGGTGACATCCCTGAGTGATAATAAATGATTATTAAAGAGAAGAAATGACACTTTTCAATAAGAAAATCATGTGATACGTCTTTATTTTTCAACACTAAAAATAATTTACAGGGGTGGATCTAGAGATGTCTGAAAGTGGGGGCTGACTGAGATAACACCACCCTAGGGGGTCCGGGGCATACCCCCACAGCAATTTTGTCTTCTAGATGCCCAAAATAACCTCATTTTGGGCTATCAATTTTTTTTTTTTTCTTTTTTTTTTTTGCTTGCACATCCCCACCCCCTAAATCCGCCCCTGATTTAAGTAAAACACTTGCTCATCCTTACTGTCTAATCTGACAGGGAAAGTCTGACAGCTATTGAGTTTGACTCTGGATGTAAACAATGGGAGTAACAGCGCCAAGAAAAAAAGTAAGATAATTTGCATACTACACACACCTACAGGTGCATGATCTACAGAAAAAGCAGAACGGAGGGAGTGGCGAAATAAGAAGTAATATTGTAAACATATGAAAGAAGCCCGACTCTTACTCAAACCAGCTGCATGAACAAAGATGTACTTGTAGCATTGTATGCGTGCACTTGATGTGAACACAAGCATATTGTGCTATTTTTGGCCCAAAACATTGGATAACAACTTGACTTTGACTGTTTTTAAAACAATTTTTGGGACTTTTTTGTGCACCAAGCCTCTTAGTTTTTACAGCCAGGCCTTGCTGAAGACTGTGCCGGTAATTCTAGGCAAATAATTGCATCGCATTCTATAGTGATACATTTGTGGAAGTGCTTCACAATTAGTTTAAAACGTGTTGCATTTTGCGATGCGATACTGGGACGTTGTTGATATACATCGCTGTTTATATATGCAGTCAAATGACTTAATTGTGTATTTCTTTATGTACTATATTTTCTGATTTTAACCATGCAAAGTACATGTTTTATCTATTGGTTGTCTCAAAATTTTATTCAAACGTGTTTGCTATTAAACAGTCTGCATGTATTGTTAAAGCAAATGCCCTTAAGGTAGTCACATACAGCAATTTTTACATTAAGCTTGGAATTAAATTAATATTACAATAGATTACAATATTGCAAAGATTGTTACAACCATTTCTAAGTTTGTCATGTAATGCAATTATGCATGGAAATCTGTATCTGAATATGCTTGTAAAATTAAATACTTGAGCCAGGCATAAACTGAGTATTATAACCGAAGAACCCATGTTGTAAAAGAAAAAGAAAGAAATTGGTAACATAAGAAAAATAAGGTAAGATAAGAAAAGGGAACCTGCCTAGATACACCACTGAGTGTCACAAATCGCTCAGTCATTAAGCTTACCTGTGAATGTGAAGGGCAGTTCTTTTTTCGCTTTCTCCATCACTTCTTTTCGCTTCTGAAAATAATGAAAATATTTAGTTTTCAATAACATATTTTATATAAATTCAGTTAATACTAAACATGTTTTTTTTGGGTGCACTTCAATATATAACGCATGAAGTTGAGCAACTAAGATTCGAACCCAGGACCTTATGCTGTCTATGCAGACGACTTAACCAACTGGGCCACTGAGGCTTTGTTCAGAATTCAAATCTGATTCATCCATTGCGCATTCATATATCAATTTAGTTTTCAATAACATATTTTATATAAATTCAGTTAATACTAAACATTTTTTCGAACCCAGGACCTTATGCTGTCTATGCAGACGACTTAACCAACTGGGCCACTGAGGCTTTGTTCAGAATTCAAATCTGATTCATACATTGCGCATTCATAGTTGAACAGCACTAATTCTTAATGCACAGCAAATAACAGAGATCAATAAAATACGCCTTCTTCTTAAGGATTTAACGACAAGATGACATCTATGAAAAGATACTTTATTTTATAAATAAATCATGGTACATAGAGATGAACTCCAAACCGTCTTTCGGCAATCCTGCAATAATAAATTTTCAACGTTAAAGAAGAGGAATCTGCAAGTGTGAAAACTATTTTTGTATATAAAATAATTCATTGAAATAAAATTATCTATTAAGTTGATATAAACATAATGATGAAACTTCTAAAAAGAAATACCTTTACTGTTTCTTTTCTTTTTTGTATAATTTCTTCCATTTGTTCCTTTGCAATTTCTTCCTCTTCTGATTCATCATCCTCATCCTCCAGGTCTTCCATGTCATCTTCCTCATCATCTGAAGCATCACTTTCACCCTCACCTTCATTCTCACTCTTATCTTCATTTTCCTCTTCATTAATGTTGTCTTCCTCATCCTCACTTTCACTTTCCTTTTCTCCTGTGTATAGGAATTTCAAAAAATTAATGAATAAAGGAATTAATTATTTGGCTTAAAAAAAAACAAACTACAGGTTTAGAAAAGTCTTATAAAACATTTTCTTTTTCAGGTGTCATAACATGCATCCACAAAATTTAAATATACAAATTAGTGTAACACCAGGTACACATTTATGCTGATGAGTAAAGAGAGATAAACCTATATAAAAGGCTATTTGCAAATAAAGCAGTGGTGGATCAAGAAAGGTAAGACAGAGGGGTCCCAGGGACGGCCTTTCTACATGAAGTAGGTCCACACCACCTCTGCCCCATCATAGTTGGGGCTGATGCACAAACATTTATGGCTTTAGCACCACTATGCCTGGAAATGGCTCTCTCAGACTTAAACTTGAACATAATTTTCTTTCATCCCCCCACCAATATTTAAAAAAAAAAAATTAGGAGGGGCCCTAACTGGCTTGGCCACTCCTTGAATATGCCGCTACAAACAATAAAAATATACAATATGTTACCTTGTCCAAGCAGGCTTGGGTCCACTAGTTTACCATCATGATAACTGAGCATTTTTGCAGATTTCTTGTTACTTGACAGATCATAGCTATAAAAGGAACCAGTTTCAAACCCTGATAAATCGTCAAAAACAAAAACAAACTCCATTCTCGAAGCATTAACTTGTCTATTTCAAAATTCCTAAGTAGATATTTAATATAAATTTGTATGTTTGTATACACTTTGAGCGCCAGATGTTTTTTACCGTAATCCAATGAGAAACTTGAGTTTTGAGCAGATTTTCATGGAATTTAAAATGTTCCTGAGTATGATACCATTTGTTTTATTTAATGACTATTGTAACATTTAAATATGGCTACTTTTCTCAAATTTAGCTCAAAAAATGCAAAAAGCATGAATTAATGAGCTTTGAAAGGAAGATTTTTCACCACATGTGTGGGCATGGAGGAATTAGTAATTCCTCTATGGTGTGGGTAGGTGAGTGATTTCAATTCAAATAATATTTTCAGTCGGTCTAGACAACCCTAATAGCTCCCTCTATTCAATTATACAAAAAAACTAAAGACAAAAATCTATGGCTTAGGCTTTCAAACAATGGGTAACAAAAGATGGAGATTTCAGTTTTTACTGCGACGTTATTAACAAATTTGAATGCCAATAAGTATACCAAAAAATAATTAAAAAATGTTACATAGGATGAATTTCAGGAAAATTTTGTTAGGCTGTTGTATGTCCATATATACTCATGATGTGCCTATATATGGTCATGATGTGATGTCATCATGACCATATTTAGGCATGTCACAAGTTTTTTTCTCAAATAACATTTGATAGTCAGGAGAGTGATTAAGATGTATTTACCCATCACATAGGCTGTCAGCTGATAGATGAGTGGCCTGTTTCCTTTGTACATCCTCCTCAAGTATTCCTTTCATCCTTCGCTGTCGATCTTCTTCAAGCTTCTCCAATCTAAGCTTTTCCAATTTCGCAATCTCCTCTGGGGTCTTCAATCTATCTGTAGCCTAATGAAAAATATAGAGACAAAAAAAAAACCATAATCAAAACCCAAAGACAAAAGATATAGAAACAATGACAGCTCATAGAAAAGAAATAAATTTCACAAATAGGAGATAAAGTTCAGAGTTCATGGTAACATACTTTGGCTTTCATGTCGTAAAGCAGACTTCGGACGGCAATGTCGTAATCATCAGATTTTGTCACTTCGGTATCCTCTTGTTTTCTCTAACAAATAATTTTAAAAAATGATATGAAAGGTAAGCATTACATAAGAATTATAAAGTGTATACATAGTACAATTATATCCATCGAAGAACAATACTCTATATCTTGAATTGTTAAAGATATATTGTCCCATGCTAAATAGCAAAAAAAATCATAAAAATATTTTTCGAAATTAACTTGCCCATTTTGAAGTAACATAAAGTTATCTTGAACTTGAACATAGAAATTAGTGCATTTAAAAAATGTCTACCCATCAGTTTACAGTAAAAAATGATAGAAACACTTCCAGTCTGAGTCACTGGAAGTGTTTTATTATTTTTATTATTATTTTTTGGATTAAAAATAATTCAATAATTCTTATGCACAAGTTAATAATTATCATAAATGAAGAGAATTGGAAGTAAGAAGATTAATTTCAATCAGATTATAATGAAAAAAACAATTATCAATCGATCAACTGTTGCAAAAACTGAAGATAAGAATCTTGGAACTTACTTTTGCTTTTGATAGCAGCTGACTGACAGCTTTCCACTCATCATCAAGTTTCTCTCTCATGTCAGTCACTTCTTCCTTCTCTTGTTTTCGATCATACTAAAAAAAACCAACACAACAATTAAATTGTTCACATTTAATATACAACGGTGACTATAAAAGCTAAAATGTTCATCATTGTTGTTAAAAATAATTGACGAGGTGCACTTAACTCGATTTCCCCAGTTAAACATTTTATTGGCTATATTGTATATAGACTTTAAGAATTTTCATCTAATCTCCTAGTTGAATATTATTTCTCTGAATTCTTGGCTTAGTAAGTTCTTAGGAGATTATAAGTGCTATTTTCCCACTCAGGTATCTGCTGTCACATATACCTGAGCCAAACAAGACCTGCACTATTGTAGTAAGTTAGTTCCTTGAATAAACTCCCCCTAAATGGCTGTAAACAAATCTTAAATGGAAGCAACATCATTCTCAACATATTCTATTCCAGTGGACTTATATTTTTCTAACTTAACTAAGTCTTTGTAATCACGCAATAACACATTTTGACCGTAATTATGTGTTGTAGTTCTATATTTACAGTGAATTTAAGATGTGTTTATTTGAGTACATACATATCAATTTTACATACACAAAAAAAAATAAACGAATGCCTGTCTTGAATAAACGCCTCCACAAAAACCCTTCTCAACAATAAACGTCTGGTGCGTTTATTTGAATAAATACGGTATAAAACAAAATGCTTTAATTCATCTGGCTGTATTTGGTAGCCATCAAATTTCTAACTAACTAAAAACTTACCTTTTCTCTTTTTGATTTTGCAATTATCTCATCAAAAATCTCCTCTCTGCTTTTTGGTTTGCTTTCCTAGTAAGAACAAAGATTGAAAATAACTTTCAGAAAATGACTGTTGGTGAAGATTCCTTTCAAAGAATGCTAGACAAATTTTACTACGGATTGGTGTTCGATAATGATGACAGAGCAAAATGCATGGGACGAATATTCAACTTTAATATGTTTGTTAGCTTACCTGTGACTCTGGCTTTTTACGAGTGAGCAGTCCACCAAAATGTTCCTGTTCTACGTAATCCGCTACAGAATATAAAAAAAAAATTAATAACATTTTTGGCAAACGGGTATAGTATTCAAAACATATTTTTACTACAATTTCCTTGAACTTTTTTACACTTGAAAACCCTGAATGTGTGGTTTTTCGAAAAGTATAAAAATATATATGAAAGAATAGCCATTATGGCATTATTTAAAAAATTGCATAAAACAGTATATATATCTGTCTCTTATACACATCTAGATGTGTATAAGAGACAGGATCCGGGATGTTCCTGCCAAGGAGAGTGGGTTTAAGTGAAAGGTTTAAGGATGTAGGTGTCCAGTGAGTTTTTAGCCATTTTTATCTGTCTTGATATTTAAAATTTAAAGGCTGGTAAACATATTGACTTTGACTTGTGTCTTTCCTGTTGCTGTTGTGTTTTATCTTCAAAAATGAAATTTAAAAAAAATATTTTTTGAGTTCACAAGTGGAAAATAACTCAAAACGGGACTGACCATTTAATTTTCCATCTTCATCATGGTCACTTTCCTCTTGATCCTCAAATTGTTCGATATCGGCTATTGATTGACCGTAATGGGTCAGATCTTCTTCTTCGTTCAAGTTATAGGCTGCTGATTTTTCATGCGATTTCTAGAAAAAAAAACCAGTAATAAAAAAAAAAAAGTTTTGGAAAATTCATGTGTATTGTTTAATATCCATATAAACTATATAAAGTTATCAAACGATTAGAAAGTAATTTTTAAAGAACATGTAGCACTGCTATATGTTATTACTATATTCCCTCTGTAACAATTGTAAATTAGTTTACCGCACTTGTAATATCCATTGGAATAGCGCCACCAAGGAATGAAAAGTGACCTTCCTCCCTTCCCATGTGCTACCTAACATAACACAAGTGTGCACGGCTTGCTCCAAAACTAAGTTTAATAATAATAATAATAATAATAATAATAGTGTAGTTTTATATAGCGCACATATCCATCTAATGTAAGATGCTCGACAGGGCACTTGATATGTGGACTAGGAACTCAATCAAAGACTTTCTTTGCCCCTAAGGGTCCCTTCGTGTCTGTGCTACCCGGTACCACCAACTCTTGTTGTCCAACACAGGGGCTGTCTGTTCCAGTACACTGGGGTATCTCCCTACTCGTCTCGAAGGATGTACTGGGTTCTTTATAGTGCACACGAGCCATTGTATACACTGGGCCTACGGTTTATAGTCCTTATCCGAGAAGACTTGTTCTACCACCAGAACCAGAGGCGAGCGTGCCGTTCGAATCAGCACCAATAAGTTTTATGTTGATCTACTTGTTTAAACGTTTTCTTTCTGGCTGAATACACTTTTTATATAAATTTCTAGGATTTTTAAATGCCATCTTAAGAGTTTTTGTAGTGAGAAAAGATTATGCAAAATTATGTCATCGCCATAAATCGGGTTCGTAAAATAGAGAGGCATAATTGGGAGATTCATAGAATGCCATTTCCGTAGCCGCTGCTAATTAGGGGCTTGATTCAACACTGACCACTAAACGCAAGCAGGTGGTTAGGATGCCAGGCTAATTTCTGAACGTCGTTGGTTCGATTCCCATCTGAATCACTTGTGAGATTTTCTTCACAAGTATTTGGGAACATACTGAGCATTCAATATCATTTCAGGTATAGGGCAAAACATTATTCCTACTCACAAGCTATAACAAATCATAATTACCTGTTTCTCAAATGCAAACCTCTGCATCATCTTCTCCTCAACTGACATATTAGGATCATTTTCCCCAAGCCTTTTGTCAACAAACAAATTTGATTTTTTTCTGTTCAGATATTCTTTCAATAGTGTTTCCTTTCTCTATAGTGAAAATATATTAAGTGTAATTAAATTTAACCTACAGAAAAAAATTTGTCATGTGAACATGGAAACGAAGTGGCATGTTTTTTTACTCTGGGGCTTTCACCTTGTCAAGACAGTACTTTAATGTTTTTCTCTTTTCACGCAGAAGTATAAAAAAATATTTCAAGATACAATGTATATTGTCTTAATAAACAGAAATTATTTTCCACTGGCAATACAGAGTGTACTAAAAACATTCAGAATACGTAATTGTTAAATTTATAATATAATGTTTGAAAACGATAAATAGTGATAACAAACATAAATTTTCTATTCAGAAACGAGGTAATGCCATCAGAGGTACAGGTGTTGCATTACCCATGTTCGATAACCTTGAACTAATACTGACACCGGTACATAGAGACAATCTTCCTTGAACATACTGTATTGGCACTTAGAGGATGCTGCATTACACACTTGGAGGGAAAATTGGATTTACAAGATTTTCAACACCAACAGTTAAAGTTAATAAATAACAATATTGGAAGGCAATACTGTTGTATGTTTTATTTTAGTGAACATTATGGTAATTTAAAAATTTCTTCAAAGGGCGGAAAAAAAAAAAAATATATATATATATATATACAGTATATATTTTTTTTTCTCATTTAGCAAAGTAGTTCTGCTAAAAGCATCTAGGGGAAGAAAACGAAAGTTGATTGACAGATTAAAAAAATGTGAGTGCGGGAGAATTAAAAAGTAAATGATGGCGCCCTTAGGTTATCTCTCAACTTTGTATCGCATGGTCGTATAAAGAATGTGGTGTTAGAATGTAAACAGATCAGAATTGCTTGGTAATATACTAAATACAGGTCTCCTTCTAATTAAAGACCTTTCCAACTTAAGACCACCTCTAATTAAAGACCACTTTTCTGTGGTCCCATATTAACAAATGTCTTTATCTTCATTATTCTGATTAGAGACAGAAGCTGCTACAGACCATGAAAATCCCGGTCCCATAAGTGGTCTTTAATTGGAGGGAGACCTGTAATTATTAAATTGTGATGAAGAAATGAAGATTTTTTATTGGGAGATGCTATGACAGTACGAGGCGCTAAATGTACTTTCATTATTTAAAAAATTATATGCATATAATTCATTATTTAATATATTATTTAACATTTGTTCATTATATACATATAATTAGTTTTGCCTCTGACAATTATATATAAATAATCGGTGGAGCGATTTTCATTATTTATAAAAAATTAAAACTAGCAAAACATTATTTATATATAATTTGAACTAGCCAAACATTATTTATAAATAATTGAAGTGCCGATAGTCATCATATATAAATAATGATTTTACTCAAAAGTCATTATTTATCAATAATTATTTTAACATCATATTATTTATATAAGGAAAATCGCTCCACCAATTATTTAGATGCTCTGTCGATAATAGACCATTTTGGTATTGTAGGGTGTGTTGCTGTCTTTTAATTTCAATACGTATTTGGAGAGTACAGTGCCTGTCTCTTATACACATCTAGATGTGTATAAGAGACAGATCGTAAAGTGGGAGCCCACACCAGCC